CCCTTGCTGATTTTGCAGGTTTGCCCACTTACAAAGAATGCTTATTTTTCCTCATCAGATGGTTATCAATTTTTATAAATTCATATGATGTGATTTTCTGGAATCTTCTTTGGGATTCTGTCTTTCACTGTTAGAATGTACATATGATTAAAGTTATAGATCGTTGCATTCTTTGTAAGTGGGCAAACCTGCAAAATCAGCAAGGGCTCAAATACTTATTTCCCCCACTGTATGTAACAAAAATAAATCCTAAATAAATAATAAAGCAGTGTGGACATCTATGTTATCCCTCATTTTCCTCTCAGGTTTCAGACAAACAAAAACCAGAGGAGGGATTGTTCAGACTTTTGCTTATCCTTTAACAGTTTATTTATTATTTTATTTTTTTATTTTTCTTTCAGCTCAATCCTGTGATGATAAATCCAGATAAAATGTCTGGAAGATAGTGGACAAATCCTATTCTGATGGTGAAGATGCTCCTGTGTTTAAAAAGAAAAAGTTGGAAGGATACATGGTTAAAAAATCAAAGCTCTGTTTGACCTTTATTTATTTTGGATAAATAAACACAGCCTGTTTGTCTCTTATTTAACAATAATTCTGATCCAAGCTACTTTTCAGTTGCATTTTTTCCAGGATCCACATTGATTTAGGAGACCAGAGAATTATAGTAAAGCTTAAAATCTGCCCTTTTAAAACTTTTGAAAACATGCTTATTTTAAATTGTATGGTGAAAGTTCAGAAAAATATCATTTGTTATCACATAACTTCTGCAAGTGTGCGTTCAACTCTAATGTTTATAAACAAACAGAGCTGGTTTCACAAAGAAATAAATTAATTCAATCTTCAACATAAACTCATAAACACATAAAACACATTTGTTTGGTTAAATATTTTAGGCACTGCCTCCGATCTATTTAGTTTTTGTAATTGGTGTCTTAAAGAAACTGAAAATGAATAAATAAATTAATAAAAGATGAATTATATCAATTAATGAATCTTACTTTTCTTATTATAATGGATAATGACATCACTTCTGTTTATTTCTTCTGCTGTATTTATTTGTGAACCCTTAGAGGGATTAGAAGGAGAATAAGAAGTACTTTCAATTTTGATGAATAAATTAATTAATAAAAGATCAATTAGATCAATGAATAAATCTTACTTTTTTTATTATAATGACTATTGACATAACTTCTGTTTGTTTCTTCTGTTGTATTTATTTTTATACCTTTAAAGGGACTAGCAGGAGAATAAAAAGTACTTTCAATTTTGATGAATTAATAAATTAATAAAAGATCAATTAGATCAATGAATAAATCTTACTTTTTTTATTGTAATGACTAATGACATAACTTCTGTTTATTTCTTATGTTGTATTTATTCGTATACTCTTAGAAGGACTAGCAGGAGAATGAAAAGTACTTTTCATTTTAAATAAAAAGTTAATATCTGTCTGACATTTAAGAGTTATCTATGAAAAATCCAGGAACTTCTAGCAGGCACAAGGTGATATCATCATTTCCAGGTACTCACAAATACTAGTTCCTCTCTTTCCTCCGAAAAAAGGCCAAAAGCCTCTTTTTTTGCAGTTTGACCATGAAGTCAGTTATAGAGTGTTTAACCCTCTAAAGCCAAATGTGTGATATCTGATCGGGTTTCTTTTGGATGTGAGACTTTCTGCATCATTCAGTGGTAAAAGCTTTGCTCAAACCCCTGTTGTACACATTCAGATATACCTGATAACAGCCAGTAGAAGACTACACCAACATAGATTTCTGACTTATTGCACGCTAATTTGATCAAAATCATTTCTGTTTTTTTTCTTCATATGTTGTTGAGGGGCCAAAGAAAGACTTCAGACTAAAAAAAATCCAATATTCTTCCTATTTTTTATTGGATCAGGCTTTAAAGGGTTAGGGACCAAAACTCAATCGTTTCTTTTTCTGCATCATTCTTATTGTAACCAGTTGCCATGACGATACCAAAATGAATCCTCAAGTGGAAATATTTAAAAAGAAACCAACTCAGAAGCTTATCCAAACACATCTAGACACTTTTCCTATAAGTAGCTATAAGACGCACCTCTTTAGGAAAAACCTCCACTTTAAAGTAATAAACACGATTCATGTTTGCAGGTGAGTTTATTTCTGTTAAAGGACTCAATAAAAACGACCATGTGAGGATTTAGATGTGTAGTTTTCCACATCTGGAACATCTGGATTCAGGACCTGATCCCTCTCACACCCTGAGACTCAACACAATCCTGATTACTGTGAATTTATGTTGATTTATAACCTAATATCCAGCCACCACAGGTCAGTTTATTCCACTTTTTAAACTCCGATTGCAACGATGATACTAATACGACTCATAATCTGAGTTATGAGGAAATGATTGTACACACTTTACTGTAAAATATCCAACTCAAATCTTCCAAAAGCTCTAGAATTTCAGGAGACAACAACATATGAAGAAAAAAAAAACAGAAATGATTTTGATCAAATTAGCGTGTAATAAGTAAAAAATGTATGTTGGTGTAGTCAGATCCAAAGGACTTCAGAAACCCTATGTATGAAATATGACACATCTGGCATTATAGGGTTTAAAAACGAGAAAACCCCCCTTTTAAAAAACAAAACATTTATCCCTTTAAAGCCTGATCCAAGAAAAATAGGAAGAATATTGGATTTCTTTAGTCTGAAGTCTTTCTTTGGCCCCTCAACAACATATGAAGAAAAAAAACAGACATTATTTTGATCAAATTAGCGTGCAATAAGTCAGAAATCTATGTTGGTGTAGTCTTCTACTGGCTGTTATCAGGTATATCTGAATGTGTACAACAGGGGTTTGAGCAAAGCTTTTACCACTGAATGATGCAGAAAGTCTCACATCCAAAAGACTTCAGAAACCGGACCGAACCAGTTGCCATGGCGATACCAAAATGAATCCTCAAGTGGAAATATTTAAAAAGAAACCAACTCAGAAGCTTTTCCTGGTCATTTTTCAGTAGATGGACGCTGGACCTCTTTAGGAAAAACCTCCACTTTAAAGTAATAAACACGTTTCATGTTTGCAGGTGAGTTTATTTCTGTTAAAGGACTCAATAAAAACGACCATGTGAGGATTTAGATGTGTAGTTTTCCACATCTGGAACATCTGGATTCTTTCTCACACCCTGAGACTCAACACAATCCTGATTACTGTAAATTTATGCTGATTTATAACCTAATATCCACTTTTTAAACTCCGATTGCAACGATGATACTAATACGACTCATAAACGGAGTTATGAGGAAATGATTGTACACACTTTACTGTAAAAGATCAAACCCAAATCTTCCAAAAGCTGTAAAATTTCAGGAGAAAACGAGCTGGTTTGGTCACTGAGGGGAAATTAATCGTCGTATTTAAGGGTACAAAAGAGGCAATAACAATATTTTAGGCTGTATTTTTTAGGGAAATCATTTCTCTTATTACAATATTTCACATGA